AGTATTGCATGACCGCGCAATTGTCATTCAAAGTGTGATAGTGCTGAAAGCTGAAAATTGCCCTGGACAGGAAGGGGGTAAAAGTGTCCAGACAGGAAATGGTTAAGGAAGCTTTTTCCGAATGGAGGCATCTGTTTGAAGGGGCTAAGCATCCTGTGACTGTGTTAACTGATCATAAAAACCTAGAATTCATCCGTTCTGCCAAGAGATTGTTTTCTAGACAAGCACATTGGTCACTGTTCTTTTCCAGGTTTAATTGTATTATCTCATATCGACCTGGGTCAAGAAATGGTAAGGCTGATGCCTTATCACGGATGTCACCTGGGCCTCTCTCCAGGAAAACAACTCGGAATGCACAATCCTGCCTCAAAAGAACTTTCTAGGGGCCACAAGTCCTAAGGCATTCTTGAATCTTCTTAAAGAGGGGTATGAGAATGACCCACTTCTCAATCATCCACCTAAGGACATTAACCTGGCTTATAAGAATGGCTTTTGGATTCAAGGACATTATCTTTATGTACCTGAATCTGTTCAGGTGGAAGCTCTCAAGTTGGTTCATGATTCCAAACTTGCTGGGCATTTTGGAGTTTCTAACACTGAAGAACTTTTATCCCGTTCCTTTTGGTGGCTGGGTTACAAGAAAGATGTCAAACGCTATGTGGCCTCATGCCTGACCAGTGCACGCAATAATACTTGCCGAGCCTCTCCTTTGGAGTTGCTTCAGCCACTCCCTGTTCCATCAAGACCATGGGGGTCTATTTCTATGGATTTTGTGGTTGATTTACCTCCCTCAAAAGAAAATGACCACTATCTTGGTAGTTGTCGACCGTCTCACACAAAATGGCCCATTTTGTTCCAGTTAAGGGGGTGCTGACTGCTGAACAAACTGCAGATCTGATGGTTCGAGAAGTCTTTAAACTGCATGGAATCCCTCATGATGTGGTGTCTGACAGAGGAGTGCAGTTTACTTCAAAATTCTGGAAAAGCTTTTGCTCAGCTTTAGGTGTTACAATCAATTTGTCCTCTGCTTTTCACCCCCCAGTCTAATGGTCAGACTGAGAGAACCAATCAAACAATGGAGCAGTATTTTTGATGCTTTGTCACTTATCTTCAGGATGACTGGGTGGACTGTCTTCCCACTGCAGAGTTTGCATACAACAATTCTAAACATAGTTCCACTTTTCAAAGTCCCTTTTACTTAAACACTGGTTATCATCCCGTTTTTATTCCTGATCTCCCTATCACAACTCCAATTCCTGCTGTTACCAACAGACTAACCACATTGCAGGAGATTCAGGAGAAATTGATTCAGACTTTGAGGGAAGCTCAGGTATGTTACAAAAAGGCTGCTGACAGACACCGGAGATCACTTCCTACGTTTCATGTGGGTGACAAAGTTTGGTTATCAACAAAAAATTTGAAGGTTCATGTTCCATCTGCTAAGTTAGGTCAAAAGTTTGTGGGTCCTTTTCAGATTTCTGCCCAAATCAACCTGGTCACCTTTCATTTAAAACTTCCAGACAGTATGAGGATTCCCCGTTTTTTACATATCACTACTAAAACCGTTACATGAAAATCCTTTCTCTGGACGAATTTTTCCACCTCCTCCACCCTTTGAGGTACAGGGTGAAGAAGAATTTGTGGTGGAGAAAATTCTTGATTCCAGGATCTTTAGGAACAAATTACAATATCTGGTTCAATGGGAAGGATATGGGCCAGAAGAAAATTCTTGGGAAGGAAAATGTTCATGTCTCTAGATTAACAAGAGAATTCCACCAGAGGTTTCCTCACAAACCTGGTCCTAAGACATCCAGAGGATGTCCTGGCAGGAGGGGAGTACTGTCAGGGCCTGGACTTGAACCTGGGACCTCTACTGTGTCAGGCAGTAACTCTTCTCACTGAGCTACATGAGATGCTGGACAGCACTCTGCCTGATCTATTGGACAATCCTGCCTTGTGCCTTGTTTTCTGATGAACCTTGAACTCCTTGCTCCTCCCATGAACTTCCTGATTTAAACCATGCCTCTGCACTTCCTGGTTGCCAGATTATTGTGCCTTCTCCAGCCAGTATCTCGCTTTGTCTATCCTGCTGCCATCCATACCGACCTTTGGCTTGTTCCTTGACTACGATTCTGCCTCATCCCAACCTTCTACCGCTTTTTACCAAATCCTTGGCTTGTTTACTGACTACGCTTCTGCTAGATCCCTACCTGCCACATCAGTTACTGGATTCTGGCTTGCTCACTTCCTGGTGGGGTGATCCTGAGAACTGCGACCTGGTTACTAACACGCCGCAAAATCCATCTCCACTATCAGGAGCTCTGGTGAATACCGGTTAGTGCTTAGAACCCGCACCTCAAGTGAGCCTGTGTCATTTCCCAGGGTGACCTGCTTGTTTACCTATCCTGTTGGTTAGTCTACTGCTATAGCTACTTGTCTTTGAACCTGACCTCACACCGTGACACCAGAGCTGGGAAGGCAGGAGGGAATACTATACCCTGGGACAGGAGGTCTTTTGAATAGATAGTCACCAGGGAGCCTCCGTAAACAGCACACACTGCCTGCATTGAGCAGCATAGGCCAATCTGCTGGAAGACATCTGGGCGCAGGGACCATACTCTGTGAGCCAGTGGCTGATGGTCAAGATATTCAGCTTGATACAGGGAATCTGCACTGTGGAGAGCGCTGCCACCACTGGAGAATGAGAGATGCTGCCCGAGCCACTGCTGTACTCTCCCAGAGAAACAACATGCCTCCACTTGGCATTGTCCGAATAAAACCTGACCGCTAGCCTCCGGAGACAATCTGTCCAGGGCTCCAGGGATAATATGAAGGCTCACAGCTCCAGAAACCAAAATAAACCACAAGTCGAACCCGAGCCCAGGGCTCCTTGCCATCCAGAAAAGCTGGCCTCCATCGAGTCTACCATCCCAAGGAGAGGGTGAAAAGACCTTCTGGCCCAAAGTGCCAGAGACTAAGGCCACCAGAGGCAGAAGGCCCTCATTAATTGATCTAGAGAAAGCTGGAAGCCCTGAAAGAAGAGATCTGTCCCATATTGACATAATTGGCTGCTGCAGAGTCCTCATATGGAACAGCGCAGACAGGGTCACCTCAAAGGCGGATACCATCAGACCAAGCCCACACCTGCAGAAGGCAGGGCAGAATACAGCTGGAACCTGAGCAGACTGACTGCAGTGCAAAACTTCCAGAGGTTGTCCAGTGGTAGAAACGTCTGTACCTGCTCTGAATCGAGAATCAGGCTGATACTGCCTAGTCAGGGACAAGGCAGACTTCTTGAGGTCCAAGATCCAACCAGAATCCTACTGGGAATGTCAGAAGGCCCAGACACTGTCCAGCAGCCACAAGAGTCTATTGCCCAGGTACACAAGCACTGCAATCCCTCGCTATCCCTTCAAGACAAAGGACTAGGACTGTTTTGAATACTCAGGTGGATGTACAGGAATACGCCCCTGGCATTTATGGAGGTCAGGAAAAACCCCTTGATGAGGGACGGCCACCACAGCCAAGCAAATTCCACTCTGAATTGTGAACTCGCACAAAGGTGTTCAAGGCCTTGAAGTCCCGGATTGGGCAAACCCCATCCACCTGTGAGCCAGGGATAGGATGGAGGGAAGAAAAACCCCAGAACCACGTTGGACACGATACTGGAACACCATACACCATGCAGCGGGGTTGCCTCATACAAAGCCCAAAGTCATTTGAGTGAGAGGTGAAGATTGGAGGGAAAAACAGTGTGCAGGTGGAACGGAACCAAATTCAACCTGTAACCAGGCGTGACAGATCGCAGACCCACATGTGTGAAAACAAGAGGTCCCCAGGCCCGTGAACCCAGAGAAGGTAATTTCCCACTCCAGAGATGGGTAGGGGAAAAGCTACAAGTGAGGATGGACTTATCCACGTCTAGGAGAACTAATGGGTCCAGGAGTGTTAAGCACCACCCACGGGGCCTGAAAAAGCTTCGAGCCCAAGGACCTAAAAGGACAAAAAGTTCTTCTGTTAGTCGTGGAGGAAGGCCTGGGTTACTGGCACGGCTCCTTCCACTGCTTGGACTGAGGAGGGAAGGCAATCTTGCCACCTGTCAGGTTGTTGATAATGTCGTAGCACTGACCCATTGATAGTGATCCTGGACATGCAAATAGATCTACTGTGAGGTCCGCAGGATCCATAAAGGAAGGGGGATTCCTCCACCAGAATTGTAGTGGCCTTGTGGAGCTTTGAAACAAGTAGATCCACTGCTAGAGAGGACCACTGCATCCAAAGGACCTCCTCCAAGAGGTAGCATACCGCAAAGTGCATAGGTTGCTGCAGACGATCCCACACATGTAGGCAGAAGCATCAAAATATGCAGGTAAGGAAAAACCTTGACTGACTCATGAGCGTTAGACCTTACTTATGCATAAGGTTGTTATATCTGAAATAAAGCTGGATATATTTGGTGTGATCTAGCACCTATGTAATGTGTGGCATTTTATGTGGTTTTGGGATGCAATAAAAGTGTTTAAGGATAAAGCACTATCTGTAGTATTTCTTTGCATGTTGTGTAACAGAGGCAGCTTGAGGAGAGCATCATTACCACCATTGGGCATATTGTGGAGTGGTGATCATAGTCGATTTAAAAGGACACACGCGTTTTATGATGATGAAACACTTAGTGGGAGGTCAAAATCCTGAGGTGAGAATACACCTGATGGTATGGTTGGTGGAGAATGGAAATGGATATATCTGGCATATCAACACATCTTGAAGAGTTGTTTTAAGTTCACATGCAAAGTTTGATTTTGACACTATATATTTACTTACATTTCTATATCTTGAGCAAATCATTCATAGTCACTGATTATTATGAGTAGAGATGAGCGAAGTATTCAAAAATTCGATTCGGCTGATTCGGCGAATTCGAGGAATAAATTCGATTCGAGGCGAATATATTCGCTGCGAATTTAACTTATAAAAGGGTGTTTCTAGGCTTCAGAGAGCCTTTATATTAGTGCAGAACACTGTACCTTTAATTTAAATGCCCTTGGAGTCTGCTGGGGAAGAGAAATAATACTGTCAGTCAGTATGACATGCAGATGAGTGCCGTCGATCTTAGAATCACCGCACACTTCACTCATTTGGGCAGTCACGGGGCCAAAACCAGAGTGTGGAGCCACAGTGTGGCGGTGGAGGCAGCAGCAATGGGAGGCCATACAGCACCCTATGACAAAAAATGAAACCCACCAGCAGTGTGAGGAGACCTGAAAGTGGCACATGGCAGAGTGTGGCGATGGAGACAGCAGCAATGGGAGGCCGTACAGGGACCCATGACACACTCTGGACCTGGCAGCAGCATGAGGAGGCGGTACAGGGCCCATGACAGATTACGGGCCCGCAGCAGCATGAGGAGTCGGTACGGGGGCCCATGGCAGATTACGGGCCTGGCAGCAGCAATGGGAGGCCATACAGCACCCTATGACAAAATGGAACCCACCAGCAGTGTGAGGAGACCTGAAAGTGGCACATGGCAGAGTGTGGCGATGGAGACAGCAGCAATGGGAGGCCGTACAGGGACCCATGACACACTCTGGACCTGGCAGCAGCATGAGGAGGCGGTACGGGGGCCCATGGCAGATTACGGGCCTGGCAGCAGCAATGGGAGGCCCGTAATCTGCCAGCACCCTATGACAAAATGGAACCCACCAGCAGTGTGAGGAGACCTGAAAGTGGCACATGGCAGAGTGTGTGCGATGGAGACAGCAGCAATGGGAGGCCGTACAGGGACCCATGAGACACTCTGGACCTGGCAGCAGCATGAGGAGGCGGTACGGGGGCCCATGGCAGATTACAGGCCTGGCAGCAGCAATGGGAGGCCCGTAATCTGCCAGCACCCTATGACAAAATGGAACCCACCAGCAGTGTGAGGAGACCTGAAAGTGGCACATGGCAGAGTGTGGCGATGGAGACAGCAGCAATGGGAGGCCGTACAGGGACCCATGACACACTCTGGACCTGGCAGCAGCATGAGGAGGCGGTACAGGGGCCCATGGAAGATTACGGGCCTGGCAGCAGCAATGGGAGGCCCGTAATCTGCCAGCACCCTATGACAAAATGGAACCCACCAGCAGTGTGAGGAGACCTGAAAGTGGCACATGTTTGGGGCATGATTCATGGCGGATTTAGTCAGTTGTGTCAGGAACTGGTGGTTTGAAATCCAGACTAATCCACGCCTGATTCATTTTCACAAACGTGAGTCTCTCCACACTTTGGGTGGACAGTCGTGTCCTCCGCGGAGTTACAATACCTCCTGCCGCACTAAACACGCGCTCCGATGCCACGCTACTGGCCGGGCATGACAGCCTTTCAAGGGCAAATTCAGCTAGTTGGGGCCAAAGGTCAAGTTTCGTTGCCCAGTAGTCAAGGGGATTGTCTACCTCGGTTGGCAGGGTGCTGTCCAAGTAGGCCCAAGCCTGTTGTTTGAGGTCCTGCTCCAGGTCCACCTGATGCTGCTGCTGCTGCTGTGGCTGGTTAGTAGTTTCCTCACTGCGCTGGTGAAGAAAGCTACTCATCATCGACTGCAGACTGAGGCAGCCGCTGCTGGTGGAGCTGCCACTGCTCCTACCACCCCACCCCTCCCCTGCTGCCATGGCAGCGGAACGCGAGCGCACAGGGTCCACAGTGTCCGAGGATGGACGTTGGCGCACAAAGGCAGAGACCAACTGACTACATAGGTGGTTTTTATAGTACTTTATTTTGGCCTCCCTCTCAGCAGGTGTGAAAAAGGCCACCATTTTTGAACGGTAGCGAGGGTCCAACAAGGTGGACAGCCAAAAGTCATCCCTCTGTCTGATGGTTATTATTCGGCTGTCGCTACGCAAGCAACCGAGCATGCTATGGGCCATTTGTGCCAAGGAATGCGAGGGACTCCCTGCCTCCATCTCCACAGCATACTGCCACGGTGCGTCTGGGTCCTCTGTCTCCTCCTCCTCCTCTACCAGATGCTCCTGCTCCTCCACTCCTGTCCGCTGAGTGGAAAAACCACCCATTTCACTCAATAATTCCTGAGCACCAATGTCCTCCTCTACCTCCTCCTCTTCTTCCTGTCCTGCCCCCACAGGGGTCATGTGGCGTTGAGATCTGTGCGCCACGTCTACCGCACCCTGACCAGCCATTGTTAACAGCATTTGTTCCAGGACGTGCAACAGAGGAATGACGTCGTTCATCCCATAGTCCTGCCGACTCACGAATAGCGTGGCCTCCTCAAAGGGCCTGAGCAAGCGGCAGGTGTCACGCATGAGCTGCCAATGGCTGACATCTAAGTTACACAGGGGAGTACCTTTATCCGCTTGTAACATCAGGAAATCGGTGATGGCCTTTCGCTGTTCGTAAAGGCGGTCTAACATGTGTAGGGTTGAATTCCACCTTGTTGCAACGTCGCAGATCAGGCGATGCTGTGGAATTCCGTTCTGCCGCTGCAGCTCAAGGAGGGTGTGCTTTGCGGTGTAGGAATGGCTGAAATGCATGCAAAGTTTACGTGACATTTTAAGGATGTCTTGCAGTGGGATGGTGGATTTTAGGAACCGCTTGACAACCAGATTGAACACGTGAGCCATGCATGGCGCATGGCACAACCTTCCTTGACGCAGAGCAGACACCATGTTCTTTCCGTTGTCGGTCAACATGGTTCCGATTTTCAGTTTGCGCGGAGACAGCCATCTGTCGATTTCTCTGTTCATTACACTCAGAAGTTCCTCCCCTGTGTGACTACGTTCGCCAAGGCATACCAGGTGCAGCACAGCGTGACACCGTTGCGCCCTGCACATGTGATATGCCGGTCGGGTAATGGGACTTGGCACGGGGGTGGCGGCTGAGGACACGGCGGAAGAAGAGGTGGTAGAGGTGGTAGAGGCGGACATCTTTGCTGGACCAGGACGTGCAAACGTGGAGGCAAAAGCGGCGTGACCTGTCCAAGTTGCTGGTGCGGCTGTGCCGGCACCACGTTCACCCAGTGGGCCGTAAATGACATGTACTGTCCCTGACCGTAGTTACAGCTCCACACGTCGGCGCTGCCGTGCACTTTGGCAGAGACCGACATGCTCAAAGACTGGCCCACCATCTCTTCTACATGTGAATGCAGGGCTGGCACTGCCTTTTTGGCGAAGAAATGCCGGCTTGGCACTCTCCACCGCGGCGCGGCACAAGCCATCATTTCTCGGAAAGGTGCTGAGTCCACCACTTGGAAAGGGAGGGACTGCAGCACCAGCAACTTGGACAGGAGGACGTTCAGCTTCTGCACCGTCGGGTGCGTGCTCGCAAACTGTTGTCTCTTGGAAACGGATTCCAAGAAAGACTGCTGACGGAATCCGTGAAGAGGAGTAGCAGGAGAAGGAGCATCTGAACGAGCGGAAGATGCCAACGAGCGACAACTCCCCTCAGCAGAGGTGTTGGAGCCTTGACTGGCTGATAGAGGGCGATTGACATCGGGTGACGGAGCAAAGTAACGGAGCGGGTGATGGAGCGGGGGCTGGGGCAGGCAGAACCGCCGTATCTTTATCACGGTTTTCCCAGGCCACCAAATGGCGACGCGCTGCATATGCTGCCGCAACGCTGTAGTCCCAACATGGGCCCCCTGGCCACGCTTGACTTTCTGGCCACATAGTCGACATACGGCTACGTTTACTTCCTCGGGCGGCTTGACGAAAAAATGCCACACCGCCGAGTAGGAAACTTTGCCCCCGCTACTCCTCACTGGCTGACTGCTACTTCCTCCGTGCACACCGGCACCACTACTGGCCGTGGTGGTAGGCTGCAGTGGAGCTGGTGTTCTACTCCGTGGCCGTTTGCCTCCACTGACACTGCTGCGACCCTGCTGCCTCCTCCTGGGCAACCCCACCGACTGTTTTGCTCGCTGCCAAGCTGGCACCCTCTTCTCCTGATGATGCGGAAGCAATAGCCTGATGACGACGAGGCTGCCAAGTGCGATCAGCCTCATCATCATCAATTAGGGTCTCCGCCTCACTACTAGCCCCCTCGGCTGCGTGTGGGTCAGGAGACAGACCTGTCTCTAGACCGGCTACCGAGCCACTCTCCTCGCCAGTACTTCTTCGCCTGGCTGCTGAAGAGGCGGATGTCTCCCCCCGTTCCTGACCGCCCTCTGTTAGCTCTTCCTCACTGTACAGTGGGGCTGAGCCCACAGCATGCGATACTTCGCTTGGTGAGGGAACACCAAAGGACAGGGGCAGGTAGAGGACACGTGATTTCAGTGGGCTTGCTCCCGGGCCATGCCAACTAACGGTTGTGTCTGACGTACCCACCGACCGTTGGCTGTAGGTGTCAGAGGTGACCTGGGAAGAGGAAGACGACCGAGCCAACCAATCGATGACGGCAGGGTTGTCGGTGGAGACACGACCGCTGGATGACACGGGGAGCACTGCCTCTGGCTGCGACTAGTGCTGCCTCGACCCCTTCCTCTGCTGCCACGTCTGCTCGCTCCTAAAACATTGCCTCCTCTGCCACTCCTCTGCATGTTGTCTGACATACTCTTTAATTCAACGATTCTGTGTCCCTGAGTAACAATTCTGTGTCCCTGAGTAACAATTCTGTGTCTGTCCTGAGTAACAATTCTGTGTCCCTCAGTAACAATTCTGTGTCCCTGAGTAACAATTCTGTGTCCCTCAGTAACAATTCTGTGTCCCTCAGTAACAATTCTGTGTCCCTCAGTAACAATTCTGTGTCCCTCAGTAACAATTCTGTGTCCCTCAGTAACAATTCTTCTGTGTGTCCCTCAGTAACAATTCTGTGTCTGTCCTCAGTAACAATTCTGTGTCTGTCCCTCAGTAACAATTCTGTGTCCCTCAGTAACAATTCTGTGTCCCTCAGTAACAATTCTGTGTCCCTGAAGTAACAATTCTGTGTCCCTCCCTGTAACAATTCTGTGTCCCTGAGTAACAATTCTGTGTCCCTGAGTAACAATTCTGTGTCCCTCAGTAACAATTCTGTGTCCCTCAGTAACAATTCTGTGTCCCTCTCAATTCTGTGTCCCCGAGTAACAATTCTGTGTCCCTGAGTAACAATTCTGTGTCCCTCAGTAACAATTCTGTGTCTGTCCCTCAGTAACAATTCTGTGTCCCTCAGTAACAATTCTGTGTCCCTCAGTAACAATTCTGTGTCCCTCAGTAACAATTCTGTGTCCCTCAGTAACAATTCTGTGTCCCTCAGTAACAATTCTGTGTAACAATTCTGTGTCCCTCAGTAACAATTCTGTGTCTGTCCCTCAGTAACAATTCTGTGTCTGTCCCTGAGTAACAATTCTGTGTCCCTCAGTAACAATTCTGTGTCCCTGTAACAATTCTGTGTCCCTCAGTAACAATTCTGTGTCCCTCAGTAACAATTCTGTGTCCCAATTCTGTGTCCCTGAGTAACAATTCTGTGTCCCTCCAGTAACAATTCTGTGTCCCTCAGTAACAATTCTGTGTCCCTCAGTAACAATTCTGTGTCCCTGAGTAACAATTCTGTGTCCCTCAGTAACAATTCTGTGTCCCTCAGTAACAATTCTGTGTCTCCTCAGTAACAATTCTGTGTCTGTCCCTGAGTAACAATTCTGTGTCCCTCAGTAACAATTCTGTGTCCCTCAGTAACAATTCTGTGTCCCTCAGTAACAATTCTGTGTCCCTCAGTAACAATTCTGTGTCCCTCAGTAACAATTCTGTGTCCCTCAGTAACAATTCTGTGTCCCTCAGTAACAATTCTGTGTCCCTGAGTAACAATTCTGTGTCCCTCAGTAACAATTCTGTGTCCCTCAGTAACAATTCTGTGTCCCTGAGTAACAATTCTGTGTCCCTGAGTAACAATTCTGTGTCCCTGAGTAACAATTCTGTGTCCCTCAGTAACAATTCTGTGTCCCTCAGTAACAATTCTGTGTCCCTCAGTAACAATTCTGTGTCCCTCAGTAACAATTCTGTGTCTGTCCCTGAGTAACAATTCTGTGTCCCTCAGTAACAATTCTGTGTCCCCTCAGTAACAATTCTGTGTCCCTGAGTAACAATTCT